TTACAAACCTAGTAATAATTTATTATTTACAGTCAATATAAAACTTCAATTAGTAAAACTTTGTTAAAATTTATTTACAGTTGATTATTCTAAAATTCAAATAATGAAAATATACAAAATACATAAAGGAACAAAGAAAATTAGTAATCAAAGGCCAATTCAAACAGTTCTAAGATTTATTTTTTATTTATTTATTTATTTTTATTTTATTTATTTATTTTTTGTTTTGTTTTTTTTCTTTTTTTTTGCAAAATGCATAGTCTATTTTTATGTAGCTCAAATATCCGTCAAATAACGCTTCTACAGAGCACTTTGCAAGAAAATTCAATTTCTACTACAGTAGACGTACCAACTATGCAAATTAGTGGAAGTCATTTCGTAAATAAAACGACCTTCTGGTATTCTAACCTTTGGTCCTGTCTATTTTTTTTTCACTTGCAATAGGCCTACATATACCGATAACGATACCGATATATCCAATATCATATAATGAATGTCTGCAATAATTAGGCCAACAATATGATAATGATTATGACGTAGGTCTATCATAGCGTATGTAAAACAATCTTTGGTAACCAGTGCTGAGCCTATAGTTGCCAAGTAAGGCATAAATGATTGCTTTTAATATCCCACACTGTAGTTAGTAAGCCAGAGCTCTTGTTTAAATTTAATAACGCAGCATATTCCCTCGTTAGGCCTAACTGATTGCTTTTAATAAATAACCCACCCTATGTAGTAGGAAACCATGCTGTTAATAATTTCAATAACCCACCCTTGTCATTTTATGACTCAGAGCTCCCTTGTAAACACGCGAGAGGAATGTTTAGCCATTGTTAGCAGCAAAGGAAGCAGTCTCACTGCTGATTAATTATTCAATAGTTATCTGACGTCATTTTAGGCTTCCTACATTCTGATTGGCTAAAAGAAACATATATTTGCTTATGTGTACTGCAGAAAAAAAATACGCGCCCCGGACCATGATCTCATAATAAAACACTTGAATGGTCACGATTTCAACTTTAACCTTTGAATGTGTACGTTAGGCCCACTGAATTGTTTAAATGCTTAAATAATTGAAAACATAAATTATGTGGATTAAATTCTCATATAATTTACAATGAAACTTTATAATGTACGGTATTTTATAAGATTATTTTTTTAAACAGAATAAAATAGGTAACATTTTATTGAAAAAAAAAACGTAAGACGTAAGTTGATTTAATATGCTGAATCATTATTAATGGTATAGGCCTATAACTATTATTTATTTCTATAAATTAATCAACAAATATCTCATTAATCACACTATCGTAAATAGGCCTATTGAAGTATTATTGAATTATTATTAATTCTTTATTAAAGCATTATTCGAGCACCTTCATTATTATTATTATTATTATTACTATTATTATTTTATGTATTATTTATCAACCATACTAACATTGAAAATATGAATTATGTGGATAAAATTATCATAGAAAATAAACTTATAATTTATAAGATTATTTTTTAAAACAGCAGAATAAAATAGATAACACCTTATTAAAAAAAAAAAACAGGTTTTGCATAGACGCAAGTTGATTTAATATATGCTGATTCATCTCATTAATTAAACAATTTTTATTCATTTCGAGCACTGTTATTATTACTACTACTATTTTATTTTAAATTTTTGTTGTTTTATTTTTTGTTTTAATATGGGCCTAGATATAGGCTATGTATATATCTAATAATTAGAAATAATTATAATTTAATTGTAAAACATATATATATAATATAATGTTAACAATATTATAGGCTAGGCTAGACCTAACCAATTATTGATACCATAGTCTATATAGATAAAAAACATCCATTTGATAATTAAACAGCAGCTTTTCGAGTGGCAGTGCCGATAGAAGACTGCAGTGTTCTGACACTGCGGCAGTGCCGATAGAAAATCGGAGGTTTTTTTCGCAATGCGGCAGTGCCGATAGAAAACAGCAGCTTTTTTTTTGCACTGCGGCAGTGCCGATAGCCTCAGCCAAAAAAGTAAGTAATACTAATACTAATACTAATACTAGGCCTACTATACTAACTAGAGGCCCTAGCTAGGCTTACCCCTACTTACTAGGCCTAGGCCCCTAGTTAGCCTAAAAATAATAGGCATAGCCTAGGGCCTACACTAGCCTATCTACCTTCTTTCTAGGAATGCTACCTCCCTGTAAAAAATTAGTTGAACTAAAATACTTACATAATCAAATCAGAATCATGGCATTGTTCAGGACCACCTTTTAAGAAGGAACTTCTGTCAAGACAAGCACAAACTTGACTGATTTACCGCCATTTTGTTATATTTAATCCCGCCCTCTATAGACTCCTCATGAAAACGCAGCAGCTAGATGAGCATGCAGCTTCGTGCATAGACTTGCCACAAGTCTCTTATTTTTTATTATTTTTCTCATTCTGGACAGCGCCACCAACGAGAAAGTTAGTTTAGAGCAAAGATCTTATAAACACAAGATAGCGTTCTCCGGGATTTACGCGTGCAAATTCTGTAATAAGGCATGAATGGCGCCCTCTTGCTAAATTGGAAACTTTTGACCCTTGACCGCTCTGATCT